AGGGTTTAAAGTTTAGGGTTTAGGGGTTTAGGGGTGTAGGGTTTAGGGTTTAGGGTACAGGGTTTAAAGTTTAGGGTTTAGGGGTTTAGGGGTGTAGGGTTTAGGGTACAGGGTTTAAAGTTTAGGGTTTAGGGGTTTAGGGGTGTAGGTTTTAGGGTTTAGGGTAGCTGCTTTCGAGACATGGGGGTACATGAGTTACATGGGAGTTTTTCGATACAGGGAGCTGCCTATATGCAATTACACACATATAAAAGTAGAGCTATATGCATTTGTACATAAATTCCCCCCTTGTTTTGAGACATCGCTGATGTCAAAGTGTTATCTACAGGTGCTACCCAATCATGAACTACGGGAATTCTGAGGTCATAAGGGGGTCATTATAAGGATTCATCAGGAATCAGGGTCTCCTTGTGTTATGGTTTCTCACTGATTTTATCTGGTTTTTACAAAAACAAGTCATGTAAAAGCTTGTAGTAGTGGATACCTACTGAGAATTATGGATCTCTGAATCGAAAACGGGTTATCCCAAAAGAAATAGTCAAGCAATCAAGTCGAATTGCTGAATTCATGTCAATTGCGCAGTTAGTTAATTCGAGTTAACTGACCAGTTGTACGAACATATGCATACACTCGAATGAATTAGTAAACTTTGAACTGATTAACGTGAATAGAAATTCGAATCGAATTCATTCCTTCACTCGAATGCATCATGGAATCTAAGTAGTTAGTTCACTCGATGGAACGAGGTCAGTAAATGACGTGTATTCGGAGCTTCAATTGGAAAAGAGCTTGAAAGCAATAACATACTATAACATACTATATACTATATTATATTATACTACAGAGAGGTTCATGATGGATTTTGATCAGGCCCGCGGAATAGTTGATATTGCCGGGGGGTTGGGACGTTTGAGATATCAGATGGTAGGGATTGTATATACACACGAAGCACATTTTTTGCCCATGCGAAGGGCCCCAAAGCCGTGTTCACAATATGGAGAGGCCTCTCAAATTAGGGGTACCTACTACAATGGAGAATCAAATGGAGAAGAACATGGAAAACGAAATGCAAACTGGGATTAAATGGGGGATTATAGGGGTTAGGGTTTCCCAAAATTAAGGACACCCAAAACCCTAAACTCTATTCTTGGGGTTCCTTGTTTGGGGATCCCATGAAAGACCCTTTAACGGGGGGTTTCAGTGGCGACTTGCTACGCTGTATATTCTCTTATTGCCTAGGAACTGACAAGGCAAGGGGAGCTCAACCCTAAACCCTCTAGAACCCATTAGGTTTAGGGTTTAGGGTTTAGGGGTTTAGGGTTTAGGGTTTCCACTTTCTTTTCCACCCTAAGCCCTAAACCTCGGGTACTGCCCCCCTTCAGTAACAGTTGGATAATAAGTATAATATGGTTATATATAGCCCTTAATGAGACCCCTAATATAGACTGTTACTGGGTGGGGGCAGTACCCAACCTAAACCCATTGTATGGTTTCCATGTTCTTTTCCATTCCTTCTAAAAGCCTAATACCCTTAACCCTATATAACCCACTATAGTAGTTTCCATTTTCTTTTCCACTCCTTCATTCCCAGCAGCTTGATTGGCAGGCGTTGGACGTGCCACTCATGCAGGGCAAGCGCAACTCTGCCTTGGCCCTGGGTTACAGGTTTGAGGTTTGGGGTTTGGGGTTTGGGGCTTAGGGGTTCAGGTTTAATTTAGGGTTTGGGATTAGGGTTTAGGGTTTTGGGGGGTTCAGAGTATGATATAGTTTGAGGTTGGAGCTCAGGTTTCGGGGTTTATGGCTCACACCATGAGAGAGTATGGGGTTTGGGGTCAGGTTAAAAGGTTTAGGCTTTAGGGCCTCAGGGTTCCATATTGGTACCTAGCAAAATGAGACTGGGAACCATGGCATGATTTTTGCTTTTGCAGTTTCCCCACACTGTCCGCATAGAATCCTACGAGTGACCCCGGTAATCCTTTTATAGCCTTTACATGAGGAAAAACTAGTCCCCTCCCCTTTAATCTTACAACGCCCGCAACCCCCCCCTTCCCTCGCCAAATTCTTACTGTTCCCAATATCTTGGCGTGTACCATAATAGGAATATTCAATAAAGGGGGGGGTGTAGGGTGCTTTAACATCGGGGCAGATACTTCCAACAGAGCGGCTATATAGCCCTAGTCTCTTTTTCATTCTCCATCTTCTTTCCATGTGATTTTCTATTGTTGGGTTACTATCCTTATAGAATCCATGTTGAAACCCTAGATAAAGCTTATATAATGGCTTATATAGCCCCAGTATAACCCTACCCCCCTGTGGCCGGCCCCAAGGTGCCAATCGAAGAGTTGGCGCCGCTACCAAAGGATGACTGCATCGCGGCAGCCATGCGCTTACCTAGACCCAAGTCGGGGGTTCAGGGTTCAGGGCTTAGGGCTTCCAGAAACCCTACCTGGACCCCAAAAAGTATGTAAAACAACAGCCCTAAACCCATAATTATAGCCATAAAGGCCATTTTTTTACATACTTTTGGGGTTTAGGTAGACCCTACATCAACCAGTGATCTACCGTATTGCTTATTATTATAGGCCACCGCAGAGAGGACCTCAAAGCCCGAGCTTCGTTCTGTCTTGACGCGATTCAGAAAGAGACTGAGCCGAAGCTCCGCTCTTCAGGCTTCAGGGTTAGGGTTTAGGTTTTAGGGTTTGGGGTTTAGGCTTTTAGGGTTTAGGGTTTTAGGGTTTAAGGATGAGGTTTAGGGTCTCACTCCAGCAATGGAGAATCAAATGCAAAACAACATGGAACATAACATGGCAACTGATAGGGATATCGCTCCAGCAATGGAGAATCAAATGTGAAATTACATGGAACATGACATGGCAACTAATTATGGGCATCTATAGGGATGTATGGGGTCTATGGTATAGGAGAATGGAGAATCAAACGGAACATGACATGGAAACAGGGATTATCTAGGCTACTGTATGGAAGCCTCAAAAGCCCAGAAGTGGGGTTCAGGGTTTAGGCCACCCTCGCCCCCTATTAATCATGGGTCTAGATATTGAACAGAAAGTGTAGACCATCTTGTGCAGGTCATCGTTGTACCGCACGGTGCCTTGAAGGACCAAGGCAGGATACCTCTAGTTGCAAGAGTGTCAAATACTGCTTTGCTGTTAAGGAACGCAATTTAAGTTAATAGATTGGGGAAGCCCTGTTGATCACTGTATCTACACATTATGGCAGCTTAATTCAAGTTCCTTAACAGCAGCCCAGAATAAGATGGACAAGTTCCAGGTGCTCCTTACGCAAGGAGTACCCTTGTCGAGGCAATTCGAGACAAAACTTTGCCTGAAGAGTAATTGTCGCGCTCGATTTCTCGTACTTCCCATGCGAAGCAAGGTTTGTTCTGTCCGATGCCTGCATAGAGGGGCGGAGCCTCGATTCAAAAACGATCCCAGCAACGCAGTGCCGGATTGCCGCAGACCACGAGTTCGCCGTCACTGTCACTTCGAACGCCATGGTGAAGAAGATTCCGCTGTCGAACTTTCGGACCTTGAAGGCAAAGAAGGCCTGGCAGTGGG